ATGACATAATCAAAAAATATACGCTATAGACACTTCCTTCTCTCTCCGATTTGTTTGAAATTTTTAATTAAACCATTTTTTCATAAAATGATTTTATTATTAAAAATTGTAACTAACTTATTTTTATATATTAAAACTGATATGGGTTATTTTATTTCAAAACCTCTTTCCGATCAGATTGAATCTAGATCTAGATATATTAAAATTTCAGATGATAACCTAACTAACCAGATAGGTTAGTAAGTATCTAATAATTGTAATTACATACTATTAAATTATACAATAATGTTTTCAATAACTAATTAAACAAAATTGATACTACCATAAATTATTATTTATTTATTTATTCATATTCAGATTGATTCAACAATCATGATTACTCCCATTTTTCTATTAATACATTATACAATTATTTAAATTCTGATTTTTAAATTGTTTATTATACATAAGGACTGTATTTTAAATCACTTATAAAAAGAGATAAAAATTTAAGGAGTACTTTTTGAGTTAACTTTTAAACATTAGGCACTCAGGCTTATATAATCCATGAAAATAATTTAAAAGATATAGGGGATGTAATGATTTGAAACATTTTAGTACCCAATTAATACGAATACATTGGCATTTAGAATTTGTAAACATATACCGAATATAATAGTATTATTATATATTATAATATAATATATTACATACATTTTACATTTTACATGTTACCTGCAGTATTAACTTACTATCAACTTTAGCACATACATATAAATAACTCTCAAACTAATCGTTTTAGTTGAGTTTAAAAAGAGTGGTTCTCATTTGAAAAAAAAATGAAGTTTTGCATTGCCACAACCCATACGATAGGTCTTTTTTGATAAAATAAAATCTAAATACTCGAAACAGAGCCTTTAACATCTGTAAATTATTGTGTACCTAATTATTGTATTATTTGTGTTATAACTATCATTTTTATAATTGTTAATATTTCTACTATTGAAAATAAACTATACAATGTATAATAATGTAAATTCTAAAACACAGAATTATTAAATAATAAAAAGGGAGTGTATATTTAGTTATTGAACCATACTGTATAAATTGATATCGGCACATAATACGAGTATGTAAGTCATGTTAATAATTTAAAATAATTGCCCACTGCATAGTTGCATATATTATTCAGCAGTGTTTATAAATCCGTCAAGTATAGTCATTGTCAATAATTGACACGTGAGTGATTGCAGCTGTAAATATAAAATGGCGACAGTTTAAAAACGAAAAATTTCCTTTGAACAACATAATGTTTAAACATAATAAAGCGGTTAAAACTCATATAGAAGGTTTCTGTACATTATATTTTATAACAGAGTGATCAGCGTAACGTAAGAGACACTATCATTATTCATGAAAACTAAAGTTTTTGATAATATTTCTTTTATCTTTTATCTAATTTTAAGTCGTTATGAAAAATTTTTTTTTTAAATTTGTTACTCTTTTGAAATACCAATTTTTAATTTAAAATTCTGGAGAAGAATATTATTCGGACTCTTTCGATCTATAGAAATCAAATTTCAAACAATTAGTTTATTTCTAAGAAGTATTTACACTTTTGATTAGCGGACTAGTGGACAAACATTTTGTAGAGTATCCGTATCCCTTAACCACTACACTCTGCTCATTTAAACTTACTTATAACTTATAAGTTATGAATCATGAGTCATGAACTACTCGTCCCAAATACATTGTGTATACATTGAATTTAAGTGTACCAAAAAAATATTTTGCTTTGGAATAAGGAATGAAAAACGCATATTGTCATTTAAAAAGTACTTAATGAATATTTTTGTGGAAAAATTATGTTTTAAAATGATGAAAAACGACTTTAAATGATTTAAAAAATATTTTCAAAAAAGTTAGTATTTTTTGAAATAATGAGTGCCTTGCGTTTAATGAAACACTCAGTGTATACATATATGTATAATATCCCGAGTGCTTATGATAAATTATTATTTTTCTTTAACGCTCGTTTTATGTTGTTGTTGTTGTTGTTGTTCTTTCAGTTGTACTTTTTGCATCGTCGTCGTTGGCAGCCCTGGTCCGTATATTAAGTTTTGTCGGGAAGTAGAACGAAATAAAGAAAAATAATATATAAGAGAGATGATAAGAATAATTTATATCGAGCTGCAGCAGACCGTAATATTATATTATAATATATATATATATATATTATATATATAAACGAACAGGATTGTGTCGCGGCCTTGTTTATTTTACTGGTGACCTTTTTGTCGAGGGTTTCGGCTGTGCGGAAATTTACATAATCACACACCGTTCAAAACTGCTCGAAATCATATAATATATAAGTGTGTGTTAGTGTGTATACGCCGAACGAGCGTCTTTTCGCGTAACAATTTTTTTTACCGCCCGAAAAGTTTTCGTCTACAGAGACGTCACCACGGGGGTGACGTAGCGCCCTCGAACCAAAACGTTATACATAATATAATTTTATATTTATTTTTTCTTTTCGTATTCTCTCGTTGTCTGTGCACCGCAAATCGGCAATGAGGTCGTCTTCGTCTCGTATACACATAATATTGTACACGTGTATGCTATTTTTTTCGAAATGCATCAATGTAAATACGCATTTTCCTCCTCCCCTCCGTTTTTGTTGACGCCATCGTAATGTAGAGGATGATATATTCAACCTAAGAGGCACTATCGTCATTTAAAAAATACTCATGTTTTTGAAAATATTATTTTTTTTACTTAATATGTTTAAGTCGTTACAACACAAGACGTTTTTTTTGGGAAAATAGTTCAACTAGTTTAATAGTTTACTCTTTATTGTGAATATACGTATAATCACATTTCTAATTTCATATTCTGAAGCAGAATATTATTTGAATATTTTTATCTATAAATATTAAATACCAAATTTCAGACAATAGTTTGTTAGTTATAATAGTAGGTGTTAAAGATGAACGGCAGATTTTAATTTTAAATACATACTTACGAGTATAACTCATAAAATATACTCGTCCAAAATTCAATAATAATTGTCATATACCTACATCAAAGTACTCCAAAAAATATTCTTGGAAAAAGGACTGTAGAGTTAAAAATGTATGTCATGAAATGTTGTAATATGTTTTTTTTTATGACGACATTTTTTTTATAAATGAAAAAAATATATTTTAGAAATAATGAGTGTCTTACGTTAGATAATCAGGTATAATAATATACAGAGCGATGTTTTTCTGGTATTTGCCCTTTTCGGAAACTTTATTCTTTGTTCAATACATTTTTAAAATTCGATTTGGAAATAATTCATTGCAATCAATTCACATTCAGAGTCCAGGTAAATATTTTAAAAGTATATTTTTTTCATTTACGTTGAGTACCTCTATTCAAACGTTTATATTGCTGATTCAAATGAGTTGAAAGTTTGTTTTGGCTGATTATTATTCTTTCTTGTGTAAATATATCTACTACAAACACATATTATCCTGGATAAAAATGTTCTGCCTCCTCCGTCTATCGGTGCCTGTGAATCGACATAATTCATTGACGGTTTGTGCACCCATAAATATTTTAATATTACACTCCAGCATGCCAATTAACTACTAATACATGCATTATTAAAAATATTTTACACTTTCGGGTTACAAAAGCATAACACAGCAAATGTATGACGTAATTTTGTTTTGTTAGTATGTCTTTAATATAAGAGTGAATATACTAGTAATAAAATGTAAAGGCAAGAACATTATAATATGTGTTATCTTATTGGGTCTTTTATGTATCAAATTTAAAACAAGAAATGTGGGTTTTTTAATTGGAATATTGTATGTGTTTGTAATTTATACAACTCACTATATAATTGAACTATCATACAAACCTATTTAAAATTTAGCAGAGACTTTTATAATATGAGGTTATATTATGTTCATACCTTTAAATTGTATGATTTGGCTTAAACATCTAACTCTTCTATGATAATTGGCAAAGCTAAAATGGGTTCAGCTCATGGAACATTTTTCATGTGGCTATGAAACGATGTTCATATACCTAATAATAAATATAAATTATTTTTGTTTTATATCTTTTTTTTATTATTATTATATTGCGATTAATACGCTTCAACAACAATGGTTATAACTTTATTAGCCACGAGTAAGGTCCGAAGTTAAACGTCCTATAAAACTATCAAAAAATGCTCTAAAAAAATAACTAAAAATGCCATAAACAATGCATTTTTAACGAATCATCCCATTAAAAAAAAAACCAACTTTTGTTTTATAGACACACAACTACCACGCGAACGATATAATAATAACTGACTAACTTTCAGCATTTTTAACCCTTCCTTATAACTTACACTTGTTAGTTAAATTAACAACAATACAAAAACCATATACCAAACTTAGGTATGTACAATCAATAAACCGTGTACTCACTATAAGTTTGTTAAAATAAATGCGTTCACGATGAATCTCTTACTAACCAATTAGGTAGGTACCTAGATGTCATTCATTGTTTGGTAAAACATCACATCTGATTATCGCTGAAGTTAGTTAATGACGTTTTCCAACATACATAATAATATAGAATAATTGACATATTTTTGTTCAAATGAAAAATACCCAATAACTATTAAAGCTAAGACCTATAAGAACAATATTTATATCGGCCTTATATCGGCGGCACTCGTAGTCAATATTGTATGCTTCACTGTGAGTTGAGTTCTGTAGGCTGGACAATTATGCCATTGAATTAAATTATTAAAAACAATTATATGTTTAAACATGATTATTACAATTTACTTACTTATTTATTAAAAAGTATTTTTTGAGATATGATTACTTAAACATGGCTTAAGGGGAGAAACGGGTGGGCTAAATGATCTCACCCCTGGTGTAACGTCCACATATCGATAAGCAGAAATTAATTATTCAAGCACCTAACTATACGTAACTAAAATATAACTTATACTGATTTATTGTTTTTTTCAGGGCCCCGGGCGGCGGTATGTTCGGTGACGTAAACATATCGGCGATTCTCGATTCGTTCAGCTTGAGCTATGACAAAAGAGTAAGACCAAACTACGGAGGTGAGTGTTACCATGGTTTTGAAATGATATTATTATTACACTAACCGTATAAAATATGTATTATAATATAATATCTCATGAATAATTATGTTTCATTGATACTAACAATATTATTGATAATATATTATGATAGTATGTTAATGTTAATAACTGTGTAATAATATTAAATAGTTTTGGTAAAATCTTGAATATATAAATCAGAACAATATTATGTTATATATTACCAGCTATATACCGACGTATTTATAATGAAGCGCATAATTTACACTCGACTTACGATACGAGAGAGTTGGTTTTCTTCACGGGAAGCAAAAATCAATATCACGAATTTGGATCAATATTAACAAAGCTGCCAGAGCACATCTTACAACACGTCATATTATGATCATACAAATGTGCATATTCTTAGTATAATCGACCACTCGATCGGTCGTCGTTTTATGTAAAACGCGATTACTCAAAATGCATAATATAGTATAAAATATAGTGACTATAAAAATAGATGATAATAATATAATATACACACCTACGAATTAGCATTCTATCAATTATTTATCGTAATATATTACATTTTTTTATGTCTTTTGGATGCGATCGCCAAAATCCAATGGCTTAAGACTGATATAGGTACCTATATATACCTAGGTACTGATACTTAACAAAATAAATAATTATACTATAATGATACGTATTATATTATTTAATATTGTACTGCAGTTGCAGTGCAGCTCCTGCAGTTTACAGTTTTAAGTGATTATTGTTTGTCACGAAAATCAGAAGCTTTGGACGGCTGCGATCGTAGTAAATTTGTTACGAAGGTGGGCAAATTAATGAAAATAATTAACTCAAGATATGTTGAGCTAAGCGATTACAAGACTGTTAAGTTAAAAGTTAGCTGTTAGGGTACTTATTAAATAATACATTTAATTCTCAAAGCTTAAAGTTATTGAGGACAACAATTTTAACTTAACTTAGTTTAAAAAAATGTAATTTAAGTACTTTTTTAAAATTAGTACCTACGTAGAACAAAAAAAGAGTATTTTGCCTTAACAATATTATTTCATTAAAAAAAATAACACTAATATTTTAGTATTATATTATTTTTTATTTAAAACCTTGTACACAGTAATATATTATTAATGGAAGTATAAAACCATTAAAATTGAAAATTTCAAAAACGATTTTGATTTTATCTCGATGGATTACTATAATTTTATAAGATAAGCGTTGCGCATTGCAAAAGTTTTGGAATCAATAGCCAGTTTATTTATATTGAGCTGTAACTCAGTAAGTTATGAGCCAAAATTTTTTTTTTTTAAATTTCTAATTTTTAAGATGTCCAAATCTAGCAGTATAATATAAGGTGATAAAAACGTTTTTTGATTTTTTGAAAAATCTTCAGCACAGGAGGTGTGCATGAGATTTTAGTAGGTACATAGAAGTGAAAGGGTTAAATCAACTGAAATAATTTATTTAAATAGTCAATTATTAAACTAGTTAAGTTAATGCCCACCTTTGTATGTAATTGGCGATGAGTTATACAGTCAAATGTTATAAATACCGTTAAATATCGATACGGTCCTGAGTTTTAAATAAACGAATCGTTCATTTTATTTTGGAGCAATTAAGTGCACTGAGTTACCGCCACTCATCGAACTCGTTGAAATTATGAAATTTCATATAAATTTTCCAAATGAGATTAGAATTAAAATCTCAAACAAATTCACCACATAGACGCGATCACTCTCGAATGTAAATATTGGGATCACGGAATACGATCTCGAATGAAAGTCGTATTCGCCGTAATATTATTTATAAATTATAAAAAAAAACATGCCATTATTATTATTTGTAAATAACCCGTGAGTGATCAAACAAAATATTATTGATGATAAGAAAGCTGCATAACTCTGTAGGTACTACAAAAAAAATTAATTTACATTTTACATTCGATTTAATTTGATTTTATAAATCTGCTAACTCGTGTTAAAAACTGATTTGAAATCATTTACCTAATAAGTAATCAAAAAAGTTTCTAAATCGAAGAAGCTGCAAATCAAAACATCGGCTGGTATTTTTCATTCAAAAATAATAATTTTCAGGTTTTTGGTGACAACCGTTTGCGTGCATTCTGGATATTTTACTTGTAATTTGATAGACCGTTTTCGCATGCATAAAAAGAGTCATTGCACGTTGTTGTATATTTTAATAATTTCAAATAAAAAATGATAAAGCGCAAATCTTGGGTATCGTAAAAAGTAACAAATCAAAGGTACCTAAATCAAAAATATATATTGGTCAAAATTAGTTTTAAACACTAACAATCATTTTTAATATTACTTATTATTAATAACGATATAAAACAATTTTAGTTTCATTCCAAACGTAATTTTTTTTTTTAGTATTTCAATTATGACATTATTATATAAAATGATAAAAAATAATAAAACCAATCAATTATATTATGCAGAACTTTAAACACTTGAACAATTATTGTACTTGGGCCTTCACAAGCGTTTAAACAAATTACTTTAACATAATATCAATAGAAAATCCTTCAACATTAAACACCACAAACTTAGATACATCCCCAAATTAAATCTTCCTCTAGACATAAAACTCTTAATCTATAAACAAACTATCCACCCATTGATGACCTACGGAATTCAGCTATGGAAAACGGCCAAAACATCCGATATCAAAATATGTCGATCATTCCGCAGTCAATTTTCTTTTCTCTACTTACGAATTCCCCCTGGTACGTCAGTTATCTATACCATCACTCTGACTTAAAAATCCCAACCATTCATTCACTGGTCTCCCACTATTAGAAACTATTTCACAAGAATACCTTCAACCATTCAAATACCCTAATTTCAAACCCTACCAACCTTACACTTCTTGATAACCCAGAACGCCGTCTTAAAATAAATTGGCCCAGGGACTTCCTTAACATTGAAAAAAATACAAAAACACAAAATACATTTTTGGAAAAACAGCCTAGAATTATGAAAAAGGGTCATTGAACCCCACTCCTCCACTCTTTAACAAGCCATCCTGTTACTTGTACCTCTGCCCATATTACACATTCTATACAAGTTTATGACAGATTGTATGTATTATATTCTTGTTTGAAAAAAAACATAATATTATTGTAAGTTCTAAACTCCATAACCGAAACATTATAATTTATATTATTAATAAATAATTAGTTAAATATCTGTATAATAATAATTATAAATTTCTAAAAGTTATATGAAAAAATGTTGTATATTTTATATTGTAGAAATAAAAATTTCAAGATGTAAAAGGGGGCAACCCTTGGGTTGAAGAGGAGAAGCAGGGGGCAGAGCCTTTAGAAAAATAAAAAATAAAAAATTATTAATATGCATCCACCTACATGTCATGACCTTTTTCAAAATGTTTGCACAAACCGTGTCTGTAAAATTCTATTAAACATTTACCAAAACGTATTCAAACGGTAACCACCTTAATGTTCTCAGGTCTGTAGATCCCAAACCGGTTGGGTTCTTCGATTCGGTTACAGCCCGTGGCCCAAACAATAATATTATTGTACATCGACATTAGATCGGTGGCAGCGGCCATGACCCATTTTCGGTTTGCACAATAATGATCATTACACTGTCGCGGTGGAAAGACGTCTTGTACAAACAGTTCCTACCGCATTTGTAGTGTAAACAATAATAATGTAGACGTTTCCGAGGTACAACATGTTATTATTCCATATTATATACACGCAAACCCAACCGCGGAGAGAGTTATGTGTCGTCGGCGGCGGTGGTCGAGTCAAGCGTGCACCCCGCGCGAGGGCGTATATAACCTCGCGGTGGTCCCACATCATCTTTGTGCCGCCGAAATCGATTTGACCTGTAGCGCCCGCCGACATCCCTTTCGGCCGCCACCGCCGCCGCCGCCGACGAGTATATATATATTATTGTGTACGTGTACAACTTTAGGTTTTAGCCACCCGCCGTCGCTCGTTTTTTCACTCCTACTTTTTTCCGCCCTTTTTTTTACCGCTCGCAAAGTGCTGCAGCTTAGAGGATCATAACGCTTCCAAAATATTGTATAATATATTTATAAAACTACTTGCGATTTTTTCGCCAAACATAGCAATTTACAATGATAAAAAGAAACTGATATAATGTATAAAGCCGATTAGAACGCACCAGACTACGCGATCTTAATAATAATAATAATAATAAATAATATTGATAAATATTAATCATTAAACCTACATAACCCCTGTCGAATGCGTGATTTACAGGCACCCATATTATACTAATATGGTAAATGTGATTTTGTGATCTACCCTGCATTTTTTGTGACCTTCAAACTAGAATATTATTATTTATTTTTTCCTCTAAACCTTGTACAAAAAAAAAAAAATGTTCTAATAAACATAATGATAAGTAAATCATGATCACCACTTTTTTGTTTTTATTCTAAATCTAATTTTTGGAATTATTAAGTTCACTTAAAGACAAAACTTCTGAATACTTGAGATATTTATACTATTTAAGGAGCGAGATGACACAAACATCTGTTTTTCAAAAAAAATCCCCTATTTTTACTTAAAATCATTTAGAAGATAATTATCTTGAAAATGTTTATGTATCTATATCAAAATATTATTGGAACGAATAGTTTCCGACTTATTCAACTTTATGTTCTAAGAATGAATAATTGAATAAACGTAATATTATTGGGAACTGTCTTATCGTGTTCTTATAAGATATAGTTATTAATCAGACAATTACTAAATATTGTTAAACACGAATAGATTAGTATATAATTATTACACCTTCGAATCGTTCATCTAATTTCTATCATGAAAATAGAAAAATAAATATTACATAATATTACAAAAATATTTTTTATATTATATTATTCTTAGGTCATTATGTATATTAAATAGGAAAGTAGGTAGGTAAGGTACTCATTTACATTTTGTTTAAATATATCCATTAACATTTTCA